AACCTTTGTACTCGGTTGCTGCTTTATGTAGGATGCTAAGCCTTTAAAAATTTTGCACGTGGAGGACATGAAACAAAATATTTTTTTTAGTCCTAATGTTCACCTGTTATCAGAATACCTTGCGACATGCCCAGCCCATTTCCATTTAGTTCTTAGAATGAACTTACTGCATCTATTATATTTGTTGTTTTTCTTATTCTGTCATTTATCCATCTATCTTGTAGTGTTATATGAAGTATTTTTCTTTCCATAGCTCTTTGTTTGGTTTCTATCTTTTTCCTCATCTCTTTTGTTAGTGCCCATGTTTGGCAGCCATATGTTAAGGTTGGTAGTACATACTGATCCAAGATATTTTTCTTCAAAGTAATGGGGGTATCTTGATTCTCTAGAATTTCTTTATACATTACAAAACATTGCCATGTTGCCTGTATTTTTAGCATAATTTCTTCCCTTGTGTTTTCCATTTTGAGGGTTTGTTCTTAAATATTTGTACTCTTGATACTTTCTCTATTTCTTCATTCTTAATTTTGATTGTATCCATGTCATGATAGTTGGTCATATACTTGGTTTTTCCCTTATGTACTTTTAATCCTGCTTTCTTGCTACTGGCATTCAAACTGTTTAATAGGGCTTCCATTTTTTTTGTTGAATTTGTAAAGATAGCTACATTATCTGCAAACCTTAGATCTTTTAATGTCTCAAACATCTGTTTTTATACCTTCATTCTCTAGCTCAATTTGTCTGAATAATTCTTGCAACTTTGCTGTAATGCGTAAATCCTATATATATTTCACAAATAAAAAAAAAATTCCCAAATATTTCCAGTCTGGGAGATTGCTGAATGAAATTCTCAAATATTTTCAGATTTCAAGAATATGTGGGAACCCAGTATAAAACTTCTGCCCTTTAATAAGGTTGGCTTTAAATATTGTAAATGGTATTATCATTATTTGTATCATGTTTGATGCCTTTACAGGATAATTATTTTATATGACATGTAAAATTTATATGGAGTTATGTCTCTGGTAAAGTGTAAATAAAGAATTGATTTTCAAGGTATAATTCTGACTTGAGCACAGTGTAAATTAATACTGAAAAAGTTTATTACACTTAAGTTTACAGTTATCTTGTTGTAATGGTTTCTGCAATTAAACTTGCATTATTCAATGTTGTTTGTTAAGTTTCACTGCATATATTACATCCTCTGATCATGCAGTCCATGCTAGACATTATAATGCAGTGTGACCAGTGCTATAAGGTGCTAAGTCAGTCTAAAGACAGGTCAAAGGTAAAGAGAGGAGAACAGTGGGAGATAGCTACATACACTAATATCTTCTATATTTTACTTCAGTAATAGAAACAAATTTTATAATTTTTTCCAAGTTCCAGTTTAGAACCAGGAAATCTGTTAATTATCATGTGCTAAATTTAGTTTTAGTTGTTAGTCTCTGTAGCAGGGTCTTCTCTCTTTTTCTGCCAGCAACAAACTAAACCATTTCACCAACTAAACCCACTTATATCTCCTATTACTGTAGTGATCAAGTGTCTGTGCATTTTCAGTCCCAAAATATCACAATGCTAATTAATGATAAGCCTTGACATGAAAAAAACAGTATGTAACTAGTATGCTTCAGCTACAACTCTCAGAGTATAAGAACATCATTATAGTA